TTTTTTTTTAGTAAAATCAATTTGGAAACTGAAATTGTTATCTATCGATATCTATTGGATACTTATGGAACAGGAGAACGAATGACAATTGTTCCTCAAAAACAGATAGATACTTATGCAAAAGGAGAACGTGTGACAATTGTACCTCAGAAACAAATAGTTGTTTCAAATGAGTTCACAACAGGAAAATTTTTTGTTCGAGGACGAAAAAAAGGATTCATCGGCATTAGTAAGTAATAGAATAAAAATATTAAAAATTAATTTTTGTTTATGTAGAAGAATGCGCTGCTAATGGTAAATATATTAGTTTGGTTAATCATTCATCGAATAAAGATATTGATATATCAAGATGGGTATTGAAACAACGTATTGATTCAACTTCCGAAATTCGATATACAATACCCAATGGTACTCGACTTCAACAAGGAAAAGAATTAAGAATCTATTCAAAACATAATGCTGATTTAGCAAATGGAAGTGCTATTTCAGCATTAGTACAAAAACAACTTGTAAATAAGGATGTAGCATCATGGGGTATGTAAATAATAGGATATGTTAATACTAGATTTATTTTTCGTATTGTTTAGGTGTAGGAGATATAATTGAAACGCGTCTATTGAATCATAATGGCGAAGAAGAAGCATCATATTTACAATCGATGGAACTTAGAAAAAGCAATATGTGATAGATATTAACCAAAGCAATTCTTATTTTCTTATTATACTAATTATTTTTATATTTTTAAATTTTTAGAGTAGTTAACTAATATCTTTTATTTTTTTATTCTTAAAAACTAACTAACAAATAATAAAAAATTTTACTACGCTGTTTTAGTTATAAAATAATAGCAAATAAAATGATTAGATTATATAACACATATTCAACAATAATATTCGAGTGTGTTTGTTTATTATGTATCAGACACGGTTTTACCCTCTAAAATTTGTTAACTGTATGATCTCATCTAAAACTTTTTAATAGAGAATGTTACAGTCTTATCGCAGGTTGTAGAAGAAGAGAACGCAAGTATTCATAGGACAAGAATGATTACTTCCATCTCTTGTAATACAACATATTCTAGGTCAAATTAAGCGAGCTCCAAATTTGAAGTTTACGAGTTTCAAGTTTTTCAATAAATTGTAGCTTCACTAGTCGACGTTCTTGTCCTCTTCTTTCCAGGTTCTTGCTTTTCTTACTATCCAGACAAGATTCTTGCCAGCTTTCGAAGATGAACGGCACGTGATGTGGCCTTTGTTTATCACATATATAAAAGCATTAGCTGAACGTTATTTATTCATAACCGTTACTGACTCGATAAGTATAGTTCAAATTTACTTAGATTATTTTCTTTTTCTAAAGCGTTTATTTAATTTAAACGACATCTAGTAAGTTATTATTTTAAATGGATGTATAGTAAAAGTTTATTTCATATGAAGGAAACAATGGAATGTATGATATCCATTTTCTCATTGTTTACTGAAAGCAATCCTTATTGCACATATTTTGATGTTTTTCTAATTCATATCTCTATATTTTATTTTATATTTTCTAGATTTTTCACTACCGATACAAGTATTACATATAATGGACGAAGAAAATATCGATTTATTTAAAAAATTATTGTTTGATAATCCTCTTGGTATAGTTAAAATTATAAAAAATAAGTAAAAGAAGAATTTTTTTATTGTTTTTTATGTTAAAATCTGCAACTACTTTATGAATATGTGAAAACTAAAGTATTTTTTTGTTCTTTCACATTTTTTTGTACATGGTGTAAACAGCTTATAATAAAATAAAATAAAATAAAAATAATAGTAATAACCTAGAAAAGGCTTTTTTAATATGACCAGAATCAGGCAAGAAAGCCAAGAAGGATAAGAATCAGGCAAGAATCTTGTATGTAAGGAATTTTCAGAAAAGAATCTTGCCTGAAAAGCAAGAAAAACAAGAACCTGGAAAGAAGAGGACAAGAACGTCGATTAGTGTAACGAAAGAATCCTTGGTTCAGTTAGATTACATGAAAAATTTGAAACTTTTGACGTATGTCCATCATGAACGAACTAAATAATTGAAAAGTGAACATTTCTTATTAGCTTATTCTTCTTATCAACAACTTCGATGGACTATATTCAGCATCGTCACTTATTTCCTGTTTATCAATTTTACTAAAATAGATAACAAATTAATAAATAATAATAAAAAAAAGACATTTTTACTTTAAATCTGAACCATATAATTGTCTATTACTACCACCTAAATCAACAATTGTTTCATGTTGATTCGGCTATTTTACGTGAAATATTTCATCTTTATGTGATTCAAATGTATGTAATTTTAACTTAAGATATCGAAGATCCCAAAGTGCACCGATCTAAAAATAAACAATTAAAACAAATAATTAAAAAATAAAGATAATACTCGAAAACAAATTTTATCAGCTGAATCAGTTGCAAGAATATACTCTGAAAACGAATTAAATAATAAATAATTAATTTCTGCACTATGTGTATCAACAATATGTGATGGTTTTGTATAATTTGATGAACGTGTATCCCAACTAAGAAATATAAAATAAAATAAAATCGCATTGATATTTAAATAAAATAATATATTAATTTATTTTTTACATCATTAATTTAAAATCATCACTAATGGAACCAAAAAATGTTTCATGAAATAAATGACAAGTAACATCCTGTTAAAAAAAATATTAAAATTTTTATTGTTTACTTTTTCATTTAATTATACTTTAACAACAGATTGACGTGCAGAAAAATTTCGTAATGGATGAATAAATTTTCCTTTTGTTGCTTGTTTTTTAATAATCCATAAATTAATTATTTGATCATTCGATGCAGATATTATATGTTTATTTATATTTGGAATATATGAAAATCCATAATGTTCTTTTGCATATTCACGAAGACATAATTCAGGATAATAATGAATATGTTGAGTTGCTAATTTAGTATAATTAAATATAAAGGCACATATTTAAGTGCTAAGTAAAAATATATAAACGCTAAGTTGATTTCTGCTAAGTAACATTTGTATATACTCGGTAAATAAGTTGAATGCTCAGTAAATTTATTGAATGTTCAGTTAAAAAAACAATTCTCAGTAATTAATTTTTTTCTAACTAATAATAATTAATATATAAGTTAAAATTTTAGTTGCTAGGTAAATTTCTGGAATTATCGGTAAAAAATACATTTTGCCCAGTAAAAAAAATATTCTAGGAGTAAAAAACATAAATTAGCTAAGTAAATACAAATGACGGACAAGTCGTTATTTTCCGTTCGTTCTCTTGTGTTCGTTTCTTTTTATATACATCACATATACTTGGACTCTTTCGATTCTGTCCATCATATATGCTTGGTTTTTTCCTTCTATTCTCTACTTGTCATCTTTTCATATGTATATCGTGTTTGTTGAGAATTATTCCAGCCGTTTTACCTCGATCACCCGATGGATATTTTCCAAGATTATACGATCCACTGCCCTATATATAGTCTGTAATTTTTACGAATAAATCATGTGTGATATAAATATACTAGTATTCACTCTTATCCAACTAACTATCTGAAGTCACTCATCTAACACAAGTTTTATATACATATACACAATTTGTGCTCTACTTTCACTTCAAATCTACATACAATGACAGCTTCTGTGGAGACACAATATGAAACCTCAGCAGAATGTTGAGAGTGACACAGAAAATAGCACAAAAACTGAAATTCAGAGATACAAAAGAAAAAAGTGGACCTCATTTAATCAATTAAAAAAACTTCAGTTTAGAATATGGAAAACAACTTTGTCTAATATTGAATCAGAATGGAAAAATGGATTTTGCAATTGTCTAAACTTTTTAAAAGAATATATTTGCAAACATATAGTTGGCATGTCAATTCAATTGAAGTTTTGCAAATCACCTCCAGCAGCAAAGGACGTATCGTCGGGGAAAAAAGAAAAAGGGGACGACCACGAAAAGCAACCAAAACATTGCTAATCGATTAACTGTTCAATAAATATTTTTACTTAGATATTCTGTATTTATTAATTAGCAAAAATTAATTTTTCACTTAGCAAAACCTATTTATTTACTTAGCATTTTCCAATATTTTACTTAGAAAACTAAATATTTTTACTGAGAATTTAAATAAATTACTTAGCAAAAATAGAATTTTTTACTTAGCATTTATATTTTTTTACTTAGCACTTAAATATATGCCAAATATAAATACATGATCTGGTGATGATTTTTTTGTTATAAATGATGAAGTTTGTTGTACATAATGAGTACGAGTATATTCATCATCAGAATTTGTTTTCAATTTCATATTAATTTTACCATTATATAAACTAAAGTTACAAACTTCTAAAAAAAAATTGTCTTAACTCATAGAAATATTTGTAATTATTAATATCACGGGCAGAAACTAAAATCTTATCAAATTCCATATATATTAATACTAAACTAAATTATAAATATTATTCAACAATATGATAAATGAATACATTATTTTTTTCATACCCAGGTCGAATAATCCGGCTCGGAAACGGAACGTTTCCAGCGGGTTTCAGCCGGAAATCTATGGAATGCTGGTTCAGGAACCGTTGATTGGGGTAAATTATAACCATATAATTAAAATTGTGAAGAAACAAAAAGAATAAATCTTACTACTATCATAACAATTTTAAATATTTAATATATATTTATTTGTTGCTATATTGTATATTCGATGTACTTGAGAAAACATTTTCAAGTCGATGTAGTATTGGTAGTGAGGGTTAATATCATGTGTAGATATACAGATTTCGTCAAATGGAATAAAGATCAATAGCAAACCAACCTATAAACATTGTTCAACAATATAATACATAAATATATAATTTTTTTCATACTCTTACTAAAAATAAATTGTCATCAACTTGAATCCAATTCGTATAATATTCTATATAAATATTAAATAAATTAAATTATTCTAAATACATAGGGTAGCCAAAACGTTTTACAAACAGCTGTCTAAATTTTCATCCTAATTGGTTTTATTCCTTATGTTGGCCTATTCTAGTAGTGACATATCTTATGTATTAAAATACCAATACGAAGTTTCATAGCTATGTGTAATGGCAAATTTTCAACGAATTTTTTGAATACCTCTATTTTCATAAGAAAAAACAGTGTATACGCTCGTATATAAAAACTCGTTTATTATTAGGCTTAACAGCTACACAAATTCATAATGAATTAGCTGCTGTTTATAGGCCAGATGTAGTTTCATATAGTGCAGTTACTCGGTGGATTCAACGATTTTTAAATAAGCGAGAGTCCTTGGAAGATAATCCTCGAAGTGGTCGTCCGTTATTCGTCATCACTCAACAAAACATTGATGGAGCTAAAGATCTAGTAAATGATGATCCACATATTATTTTTGATTATGTTACTACCGTCATAGACACAGTTATCACATCATTTATTATGGCGAATACTCGAAGATACCAGTAAAAAATTTACATAAAAAAAAATCATCATCAACAGAAGATAGCAGAAATTTGCATTAAAAAAATGCAGTAGGACGTATGGAAAATATTGTTCTTCATTTTAATTATCCTCAAGAAGAAAAATCAAAGTTATGGCTCATCTACCATATTCATCTGGCCTTGTCCCTTCAGATTTTTGATTGTTCGATTATATGAAACGTGGTCTTGATACATGCCCATATGCAACAAGTCTAGCTAAAATGTTATCCAGGGAGCTTCATTCAACACCTATTCACAAATACCAAAAGATACTCCAGAAATGGATTGAAAGGATGAAACTTTGTATAGAACATGATGAGAACTACTTCGGACATTTACTGTAAAAAGATCAGGAAAATGTTTTTTCTATTGATAAATATTTGAAAGTTGCAAAACTTTTTGTCTATCCTATGTGCATACATCAAATTACGGATATTTATTAGTTACTGCATTTCAACCAAATAGTATATCACAATGATTATCAAAAACAATTTCTATCTCCATCAATAATTATAGATAATAAACTACACATTATTCATCAGCTACAGTTACAATATAATTGATTATACCTTTTACAAATCTATTTATAAAAGTATATTATCTAATGATTATATATATACTCAATTAAAATAGAATTTATATATATGAATTATGTCTTTCGTATTTGAGAAAGAATAAGATTCACGTTTAACAAAAAGGATGTACTTTTTTTTATGTTATTTCAAACGAACGAATACAATTTTAAAATGTTCTCGTAAGATATATGACATTTTTAATATATAATATAAAGCAATGTTAGTTTTTAAATCAATCAACATAGTATAGAAACTCCTTACGTCATACGTCATCGGCCCTGTGG